CCTAAATTCCCAGGATTTGTGCTCCCAGATCCCCACGATCTACCCCCCTAAATTCCCAGGATTTGCCCCTTTTCCTGCCCCAGACCCCCAGAATTTACCCCAAATGTTGCAGGAACCCTCCCTCCCTGATTTAGGGATTTTGAGGGGTGGTCTCAGGCTGTGACATCAGAACATCCCAACGGGAACAGATCCCAAAACCACAAYGGGAGGGACATTTCCATCGTCCCCCCACTGAAACCTCACTGAAACCACCCCAAAACGGCCCCAAACCCTTGTGCAACCCCCGGCTGATTTCGCCATCCCCCACCAATTCTTTGGCCGTTATGGGGAGAGCCYGGAACCACCCAAAATTTTTGGGATCAGGCTCCCAAAAATCCCTCCTGGATGATTTCTAAAGGGTTGTTTGAGTTCTGCACCTGTCCCGGTGCTGACAGGTAACCCCGGCGTGTGCCAAATCTGTTTAATTATTTAATTAGGGCTGTTCCGTGCCCCGAGGGATCGGGATTTAGGATTTGGGATTGGTGAGTCACAGCACGAGGAGTTCACCTGTTGGGCAATTGTGGGTGTGACGGGAGCCAGGAGAGCTTGGGGATGCCCCAAAAAACACCTCAGAGCRGGATTTTGGGGGGGATTTTATAGGGATGGCCCCTACTGGGATATTATGGGTTTTGAGCCCACTCCCCCAATTTTTTTTGGGGTGTTTTTCACCTCAGGGATCCGCTCGTGGGACATCGACCTCACCTCGTGCAACCTGGACGAGCAGCTGAAGCTTTTCGTGTCCCGGCACTCGGCCACGTTCTCTAGCATCGTGAAAGGTGAAAAATGGGATAAAAACAGGGGAAAAATGGGGAAAAAGGGGGAAAAATCCTTCCCAGAAACYGAGGAAAGGTGGGAGGAGGGGGGGATTTCTCTCTGCCCGGATTTGTGGGAACAGGCCTGGCTTTGTGCCAGCCCACACACCCCAACCCCGTGATCCCCACGTGAGGAGCCGCTTCCTTCTCCATGGGATGGGATTTTCCATGGAGGGATGGAGTGGAAAAAATGGAGCTGGGGCTGCTCCAGTGCCTTTCCCCCACATCCAATCCCAGCTGGGTTCTCCATGGGTGTTTGTTAGAACCCCAAAACCCACCCTGGGAGCACTCAGGGTGTTTGGAGGGACAAAAGTGTCCCCAAACTGTCCCCTCGCCGCTCCCCGTGACAGGAAGGACACGGGAAATGGTGTCCCTTGACCCCTGCGGTGTCCGGCAGCGGGACGGTGCCTGTCCCTCTTCCGCCGGAAAAGCGGGCAGGCCCTGGCCCTGCCACCCCCACAGGGACAGGTTTGGGGTGGGTGGGTGTCACCTTTGGGGTCCCCACAGGTCAGAGGACCCTCCACCCCTGAGGGGACACATTGGGGCGGGTGGGGGTCACCTTTGGGGTCCCCACAGGTCAGAGGATCCTCCACCCCCACAGGGACACATTTGGGGTGGGTGGGCGTCACCCCTTGGGAACTCTCCACCCCTGAGGGGACACAATTGGGGTGGGTGGGTGTCACTTTTGGGGTCCCCACAGGTCAGAGGACCCTCCACCACCACGGGAATACATTTGGGGCGGGTAGATGTCACCTTTGGGGTCCCCATAGGTCAGAGGACCCTCCACCCCTGCAGGAATGCATTTGGGGTGGATGGGTATCACCTTTGGGGTCTCTCCACCTTTGCGGGGACACATTTGGGGTGGGTGGGTGTCACTCTTGGGGTCCCCACAGGTCAGAGGACACTTCATCATTGCAGGGAAACATTTGGGGTGGGTGTCACCCCTTGGGGACCCTCCACCCCCCCGAGGGGACACATTTAGGATGGGTGGGCGTCACCCTTTGGTGTCCCCACAGGTCAGAGGACCCTCCACCACCGCGGGGACGTGCTGGAGACCCTGGTGCTGCTGAACCCTTCGGACAAATCCCTGTGTGACGAGGTGAGCTGGGCGCTGACAGTGGCTCCATCCCTTTCTCCCCGCGTGTCCCCTCTGTCCCCACATGTCCCCTTTGTCCCCACGTGTCCCCTTTGTCCCCACGTGTCCCCTCTGTCCTCACGTCCCCTCTGTGCATCCCCCAGCTGCGGAACCTCATCACGGACGTGTCTCAGCACAAGCTGCTGGTGTTTGCCGGGCCCTGCGTGGAGGACACCGGGGAGCTGATGCTGCAGACCGGCTGCTTCTCCCTGCGGGATTTCATCCAGATCTTCACCGATAAGGAGGTGCGGGGCCGCGGGGAGGAGGCAGGAGCGGGGGATTTGGGGAGGAGGAGCTGGGAGTGGGGGATTTGGGGAGGAGGACCCGGGAGTGGGGGATTTGGGGAGGAGGAGCCGGGAGGAGCCGGGAGTGGGGTGGATTTGGGGAGGAGGAGCCAGGAATGGGGGATTTGAGAAGGAGGAGCTGGGAGTGGGGGATTTGGGAAGGAGGAGCCTGGAATGGGGGATTTGGGAAGGAGGAGCCGGGAGGAACGGGGAGCAGCCAGGAGCGGGATGGGATTTGGGAAGGAGGAGCCTGGAATGTAGGATTTGGCAAGGAGGAGCCAAGATTGGGGGATTTGGGAAGGAGGAGCCAGGAATAGGGGATTTGGGAAGGAGGAGCTGGGAATGGGGGATTTGGGAAGGAGGAGCTGGGAATGGGGGATTTGGGAAGGAGGAGCTGGGAATGGGGGATTTGGGAAGGAAGAACCAGGAATGGGGTGGGATTTGGGAAGGAGGAGCCATCTGAGCACATCTGGAGCCCTGTGGTTCCTCAAGAATTATTCTGCGTGCTCTCCCACCTCGCTGTGGGGTGCCTGCAAAGTGTGGGGCAAATCTTGTGGTGTGGGGTAGGGAAAGGGGCAAATCCTGGGAATTTATGAGAGTTGATTCTGGGGATCTGGGAGCACAAATCTTGGAAACCCTCAAGATAGATCCTGGGATTTTGGGGTGCAAATCSTGGGGGTGTTGGGRSGAAGATCCCAGGGGGTTTAAGGGGWGGGAAAGGGGCAGATCCTGKGASTTTAGGGGGGYAGATCCTYRCCTGCCAGGCCAGGGCTGCCACAGCTGGGGTGGGGGGATCAGGGAAGACCCCTTTTGGGAGCCTTCCACCCTGCAGGACCCTGCCCAGCAGCAGAGGGG